TCAAACCAATTTAAGAGCTAAAAACAAACAGTTCCTATTAATTCTATTATTATGTCAATTAATACTTCGGTTATGTAACTGAGAGCTTGTCTGGTACAAAAACCAGCAGGTGTCTGGGACTCCAGGACCAGATTGTGAACCCCTGCCCTAAGGGTTGTGGGAGTTGGAACAAGCTGCCCAGCCGTGTTGCTGAATCCAATACCCTGGCGTCTTACAGGAAACAACCGGATGAAATGCTTGGATTAATTAACTACTGCCTTCCAAACAGGCTAGATGGCCTCCTCTCATTTGTAATCTCTCATGTTCTTAGCAAATGGGAAATATCATTAGCTCCCAAATGCCACCTGCTGGAAAAAGAAGCATTTTTCAAAGATCCGGCAAGCACCCAGGAAGGAATCACTGCTGTCAGCATTCAGAGATGGTATTCAGAAATGGGTATTTGTATAAGAATGCAGCATAAAGTTCAGAGAGCTGAACAATAACAGCTTTAGACAAAGCCCCAGTTAAGCCCGAACTGCCCACTCTCTCACAAAAAGACACAGATTTGAATATGATCCATGGAAATTAAACTACAGTTCTGGGAGTTATTTTAGGACTGTAAAGGGAAGGTGACAAACTGAAAGAAACACCTGATTTCCTTCAGCAGACAACACGGTATGAAACTAACATGAGAATGGCTCTAAATATTCCCTCACTGTTAGATTAGCCAGAAGAATGCAGTTATACATCTAAAATTTAAGCACAGGCAAACAAATGCATAAAAATATAAGATTTTGAAATAATGAGCTAATTGGATCAATTTTGCAAGTCATGATTTATTTAGTAATCCTTGATAGTAAGATTTCCAAAGACAGCGATTACAAAAATGTAGGGAAACTTCCACTTCTGCAGCAGCGTGGAATGTCCCTACACTAATACAGGAGGGATATAATTTCATTATCACACGTTTACACCAAATCAAACAATCACAGCAAAAATCAACCTGATATAGTGTTATTGCAGAACAGAGAGAGCAATAATTGGTCAGAGGAAGGTATGAATTTACAGTTAAATCCCTTGCAGGATCTGCGCCTGACGCTGGAAGGTTCCTAGTTCATATCCCGCGGCTGGCAGAGGAATCCCACAGCGTTGGGCCCCTGAGCAAGGCCCTTAACCCCAGCTGCTCCAGGGGTGCTGTACAATGTCTGACCCTGCGCTCTGACCCATAGCTTCTCTCCCTGCCAGCGTGTCTCATGGAGAGCAAGTTGGGGTATGTGAAAAGACAAATTCCCTAAAACAAGAAATTGTATACGGTCAATAAAGTGATCTTATCTTAACTAGACTAGACTATATTAAGTTGCATTTTAATATCTATCAGCTACATTTATCTGATTTTAAATGTTGAGACCTTGACCTTAATAATTGTCCAATTTACTTAAGGGGAGATTTTTAGATAGGCTGCCTCAGGGTAAAAAGCACAAAAACAATCTCTAATGTTTTGCAATAACTTCAACAGTCAATACCCTAGCCTGCCTAACTGTTAACCTTAACTCTAGACCAAACTTTACTCTTAACCTACTCCTAACTCTTAACTAAACCAACATAGTTCTGACTGTAACACCACCTAAACCTAAATTTAACCCCAATACTACCCCAAACTTAACCTAACCCTTAATCTAACCTCCATACCCCAACCTTAATTTATCAAAATAGAAATGGGACGTAAATACAGTATGCTCTTAATGTGAAAGACTGGCTGGTTTTATCATATTTATAAAAAGAGATGTTGATCGGGAGGAAGGGATTCAATGAGCTCTTCACTGTAATGGTCCCATGGATCAACAATCTACCATGTTTACTGAACAAAAAAAAAATGCATAAAAAAATCTGTGTTTTACAGAAAAAGGGAGTGCTGTTCTAGACTGATGGGAATAGTATTTTCTCAAATGACGTAACTAGCTCTACCCCTCACCCTCTAATTTTACACTCGGAAATCAAGACAAGCAAAACAGCTTGTCTTGTCTTTAGACTGAATATCTACAGGAATACAGAAAAAAAGATGATCAGTAGGATTCCTTTAGCAAGAAATTACAACATAGTTTGTTATGCCCACCAGGCACAAGTATCTTCCAGTATGAAAACAGACAACATCAATGTCCCTCAATCCTAATGGCTTGGCAGGGAAAACAGTGGAATTGTGGAGTTTTTCCACCTTGCAACCACAGCAATTTTCAATCAATTACAGCCTTGCAACATTTTAAAAACACACCGAATCAAGCTTGTCCTTAATGCCAAGGAAAATAAAAAGACACCAATACCATTCAGCAGCCTAAAGCTATTGTTCGGAGTAAATTAAAACAGAATTCATAGATGTAATACTCACATGGTATCGCGCAGAATAAAAAGTTTAACAAAGAAAAGAAACAACAAAGGAATGAGTGATTAAACCAATACAGATTAACTAAGGGCTTCTCCAGCACTGTCCTGTTTCTTAAAAGCACCTTCTCTTTTAAAGTGGAACTGCAACGCTATTATTATAATTTATTTCAGGAGTAAGAAGAATCGGCACTTATGAGTGCATTTCAAGCCACACTGAAAGTTAAATGTACACAGTAACGTTTAAAAACTCCAATTTACATCACAAAATAGACAATTTCCAGGTAAGCGCAGCACCATATTCCGCAATTCAGCAAGAGGCAACAAAACACCCAGTGACGTGATGTGGCCCCATCACATTGTGAACAAATCTCTTTTAATCCAACAGAAATATTGCTTTTGACCTTGAGAGGGGTTTGCCGACAGATACAACTTACTTGTTAACTCAGCATGCAGATCACTTTGGAACAAACATTTCAGCGGTGAAATGTCTGCTGCACAACCTGTACTGAACTCGTTCGTACATCACATTACATTCCTGTAATGTCATTACAGTGACTAGTGAGCAGGAAGGGCCGCATCACGTCACAATTCACCCAAACTCCCGCTGTAGCCTGTAGTGAGGCCAGCAGTTTGTGACAACATAACTGGTCCCAGAAATTGGAACTGCAGTTCCCCTTTAAGACCAGTATGTATCCCATGTTTCCGAAGAGAGTCTGCAATACCTCTAAACAAAATCTAACCAGTACTCTTCGCCAATTCAAATCCAAAAATAAACCACCATATATATTAATATTTATTTTATGATTTCTTACTTTTCTAACAGGCATTAAAAATAAAGATGATATTGGTTCCCATGTTAACTCATTGCATTTTTGCTGCCTCTCTGCATATAAAGCAAATCATTCGATTTCATACAATATAATGTAAAACTTAATACAGATTCAACCACTTGCTTTTTGTAACAGAATAATTTTAACCGATTTATGAAAAACAAAATACTATATCCACATAAACAGGCAGGTTCACAAAATATACATGTTAACTCTGGAAAATACACATACTGTACAGTATTAGCAGAACAGACAGCTTTTAGATTTTGTGGGGTATATTATCCCTTCTGAAAGGTTGCAAGGGAAAAGGAAACCGACATCTTATTCATAATACACCTTTTCCTATTTGGATAAACAGGATTAAATAGAAGAATGCAGTCTGGGAAACTGTCACAGGGATTGCACCACTGTAGTCCAGATAAGCAGCTGGGAATGAACCAGTGCTCTCATCTTGCCCTGCACAGTGTGAGATAGGGCACCACCTTCAGAATCAACACTGTCCTCTCGAAACAAATGATCACTTTACTTTGATAATTATTTAATAGGGATTAAAGTGAAAACTTATTATATATTTCAGTGGTTCAAAAGACTGTGACTGGGTGGATCTGAATCCTGTTTCTGGTAGACTGCTGGGTCTTCACGTTTGCGTTCCAGCTGAGCTCTGAATCATCCATGCCAAAGGGTGTCTTTAACTAATCTGCTTGCTTGGTTTAGACTCTTGCATTCAGTTTCAGAAATATCAAAAGTCAAAATTTTGTTTTCCCACCAACTTCAGCACAGACAATACCTTTCCCTCAACTTATTTTTGACTCAATACTCAAATGTGATGAATTTATCCGGAACAGACCGGTGAAAATTATATACAATTATATGTATCAAATACTCCCGAAATAAAAGTGTATTTTTTCCACAGGTTCAATTGGTTACAATGCAGGCAGCATAACTCAATGTGGGTACTTGAAATCGGAATTTGGTACAGGGATGATAGGAATTACAAATTCCATTCGTAATGAGACTCGTTCTGGGGAAAACATTTGAAAACAATTAGATGAATCAAAGAGAATTTAGGATTCATAACTGCTCAAAGCTGCGAAGCCACCAAAAATTAAACAGGCACAGCGCTCCAGCCACTGTACTGACAAGATGTGTACTGACTGCATAAAAAAGTACACGATTGGTGAATTCACACGTAGCGTGCCAACGTGTTTTTTTTTTATTAAACAAGGCGAAACAACTCCACCTTTCCGCTAACTACAGCTAAATGTACCGCAGGAGGGGAAAAACAACTTGTGCATGTTCGCATGTTTATATCGAACAAACGTGTTCAATGTTCTAAACTTTACTAAATCAAACTACCAGGATATAATATCGTGAAGCCACGCTATTTTAGCATTCAAATAGCGCTACCGACCTCAGTGCCAGAAAACAATATGCACATGGGGGAAAAAAGCACTCTCTCATCAGTGAAAAGCTCCTCCCGTGGCAAATAGTGAGTATATACTGTACCATCTGTTATAATTAGCCCGAAGTCAACACCTGTTTAATGCATTAAAGGCGAATTCATTTTACAAAGAGTAATCCCAAAGCGAATTGAATTTGTTATATCGTTGTTTTCCTGATTTGTGAACTGCATGAGCATCATTTACTGAAATAAGCATTACGGCATCGCCGTAATGGCAAAAAAAAAAAGTAATTGCTTTCACAAGAATTGGTGTTGTATTTCCTAGGTAAAAGCCTCGAACTCAATAGAAATCACAGCGTTTAAACTACTTTATCAAGAATGTTTTGCCACAGTGAAGAGGGCTCGCCTACCTTGATTTCTATACCACTCGGATCTCCTGCGTGGTTCTTTCTATACAAAAACTACTGACCCAAGAGCTCCACTTCCACAAACACAGAGCACGAGTGTTGACATCGTCTGATTTGTTAATTTCACAAACTGCACGGAATACTCAACCATTTCTCCGTCTCGCAGCCAATAAACGTCGTCTGCGTCAGAGACCTCCTGTATTATTCAGAAACCGAGCTCCGTATTGCCACCTGCAGCAGTTTTAAATCCCCTCGGGAAGCGCTGGGAAACGTACTGTATAAAGCAGATTGCCGCTGTGATAGCTGTGTAGGGTTTTTGTGGCCAGGAGTCCTCATGCAACTGAATCATACATTTTTAAACTACTCCATCCCATTATTATCTTTAATTATCTGTGACAATATTTTTCTTTGATATTTAGGATGGAGGACGTTAAGAAAGCTATTAAACTCTAAAATGGTCTGTGTATATATAGCACAGTAGCACTAGCCCCAGAAAAAAAACCTACTTCATTCGTTTTTAACTGCAGAAGGTCCACAAAGTTTTTAGGTTTGTTTGTTTTGTTCACTTCACGCCGCTCCAAGAAGGTAACCCAGACCTTAACGGTAATACATCTGGCACAAGTCCGTAGAGCGCTTAATACAAAGTTAGCGAAACTGCAGTCTCATTGACACACGGAGCACCATATCTCATAGCAGAAAGGCTAAAGAAGAAAAAACCGCATGATGAAGGATTTTTCAAGACAAACGATATATCAACACAGCAATACAGGCAGGATAACCTCACAAACTAAAATGACATCCTAGTATATTCATGAATAATATATACATCCTTCCCCAGAGCTGTTAAGTTGGTGACGCCCCCACTTCCCTCC